AAAAAAAATGAGTGGTTTTTTTGTCCTAAAATTTTGGTGTAGGTTGCTAACATACTCCCACTAAAAAATAGGTGAGAGTATATTAGCATTCCCCTATATATATATATATAGTTAATCATCTATATACTACCAGTGTAAAGCTTTTTTACACTGACAACCAATTATATCTCTTAATAGTGTCATGTCACTGTTAAAAGTAAATGTGTTTACAGTGACATGACACAATTAAGAGATATAATTAATTGTCAGTGTAAAAAAACTTTATAATTAACTCATATATATATATATATATTTTTTTTTTTCAAATTATCTCATCTACGATTTGGTTGTTTTTAAAAATAAAATAAAATAAACTCCATAAAACCGTCCTAGCAACTATTCATAGCATATTAAATTTTAACATTTATTATCTGCGGCAAAACCTCAAAATAAACACTACTTCGTCAACTCATTCCTAGCAACCAGTTTTTTTTTTTTTATATATATATTACATTAAATAATTATTTTAATCATTTTTTTAAAAGAAACTTCATAAAATCTACAATTACTTTAAGGGAGAACTACAAACCCTAAAAATTTATCCTCAAATATATAAATTTGTTGATTGGATACTTTATATTGGAAATGGTGATATGAACCTAAATGAAAATGGTGAAGGTGAGTTTGATATATTTGATGAATTATTAATTCAACAAATTGATAATCTTTTATTATCATTGGTTGATTTTGTTTATCCAAATATATTAGAAAATACGAAGGATCCTTCCTTTTTTTTAACAGTAGGTTATTTTAGTTCCAACAATAGATTCGTTTGAAGAAGTTAATGAATTCATGTTGTCTTTAATTCTTCGAGATGAAAAAGTTTATTTCAGTTTTGACACAACTTGCCAATTAGATGAAGAAAGTGATATTCAAGGTGAACGGTTTACAATTGAATTCTTGAACAAGATCAAGTGTTCTAGGATTCCAAATCATCAATTAAGACTAAAGGTTAAAGTATCTATCATGCTTTTAAGAAATTTGGATCAATCAAATGGTTTGTGTAATGGAACAGGTTTACAAGTGACAAATTTGGGCAAAATGTTATCACAACTACAACTATCACTGGAACCAATATTAGTAAAACTATTCTTGCAAGGATGGATTTGGTACCGTCAGATCCTAGATTCCCATTTAAATTTCAACGAAGACAATTCCTTATTTGCCTATGTTTTGCCATGACAATTAACAAGAGTTAAGGAAAAACACTTTCTAAGGTTGGGTAGTTTTTTCCTCGACTAGTTTTCACTCATGGCCAACTTTGTAACTGTTTCTAATGATGATGATGATGATGATCAGAAGGTTAGAACTTCAACCAAGAATGTGGTATACGAAGAACTATTTGAAAACTTATAACAGTTAAGCCACGATAGGTTACTAACTACATCTTTAACTAATGATATTTAATCAAATTTTGTATACCAATTATTTCATAAGTTGATAAAGTCAATAAATATAATTAATAATGAACAAAATCTATTATGTTTTTATGCAGAGTGTGACACATACTATCCCATATGCCATAATATAAATAATAAATACTAAATAACTTAATTATTTGTAAATAAAACCAAATGTGCTCAAATGGAGAGCATCATATTATTAACTTAACAAAATAACATAACCAACAGAAATTACAAAGAAATAAATTTAATGTCTCCAAAATAAGTCAACAAAAGCAGCATACTAACTAAGCCTAACTACGTCCTGATGTCACATCCTATCAAAACATAACCCATCATTGAGGATTAGGCATCATCACTAACATCCTCAACCTCATGTTGATGATCACCTCCATAACAATAAAACATTACATGGTGTATTGCCATTAGCAACATACATAAAGTAATCTAGGAGTACATGTCGGGTCACACTCTCAACGCACTCTGACTAGAGGGATATATCTGGTCGGGATAGTTGAGTTGCACAAGATACATCACATGCACACAAAGGGCAAGATTGAGACTTCCAAACCAAGCTATCCCTAAGGAATGGTCCCCAAGTTTTTACATAAAGGGAGTCTTTCCCTGGCAATGTATTCTTTATCGTACCTTTAAAAATACTTTTATGCATATGATGCATGTTAAACAGATTCTATGCATAGTAATTCACATGATCTCATTAATTCACATATCATATGTCTTATCATATCATGCACTTCATCAATCACTTGTACACATATACGCATATGGATTCATACACATCTTAACTTCATAACACAATGGCCACATCACAGAATTCCAATGAAGAATAAGAGAAGACTCACAGACAAAACGACACATAACGACACATGTTTCGTGCCTAGCGTGATACCTCCAGAATACAACATTGGTTTCTATTTGGACCACACCTAATGTGATTGAGTTCACGCCCGATAAAAACACAATAGGGAACTCCTAGAGTGTCCATGCCCGACAAACATTAGCTCATGCTTGATGGAAGTGTCATAAAGAGCCCCCTAGAGCTTTCACACCAAACAAAGGTCATCCCACGTTCGACGTGAGAGACCTCAAGAGTAAAATTTACTCTTAGCCTCGACAACGCCTGACATGCCTTAGGTAGCGCTTGACGCCGTATTAGAAACTACATATAATTAGGGATGACAAATATACTCGTACCTGTGGGTAATACTCGAACCCGTCCCGACTTTGACGGGAAATACTCGGTTTGACCGGGTACAGGTACGGATACGGGTAAAACCCGATATATTAAATCGGGAACGGGTATGGGTACGAGTATGTACTTACCCATCCCGTACCCGTACCCGTACATGTCCCCGTTTCCATTTTTAATTTAATACTCACTTTCAATTTAATTATATTAAAGAATTTTAATATTTTTTTATGTGTGATTATTTATTATAATATGAGATAGAGAAATAACATAATTATAATTATAATATAATAAAAAAAATAATTTAAAAATATTATATTTTTTCACAAAAAATAAAAAAAAAATTAATGGGTAAGGGTACAGGTATACCCGATACCTGACGGGGACGAGGATGAGGATGAAAATCATATACCCGACGGGTACGGGTACGAGAACGAGGATGAGTTTGACTCGCGAGGACGGAGACGAGTATCATGAAACCCTTACCCGACCCACCCCGTTACCATCCCTACACATAATGCATAATCACGAAATTGTGAACACACACATCAAAACCTGTTGAGCACCAGGGGAGGGTTACCACACATATACACATGTCTCCACATTGGTGAGATATTGTCTGCTTTGGGCCCAAGCCCTCACGGATTTGCTTTTGGACATCACCCAAATTAAAGGTCTCTCAACCAATGGAGACAATTGTGTGTATATAAACCAAAACTACGAGTATTATCCGATAGTGGCCCCACAAAGCTCACTCACGCTTAGAGTGCTTGCACCGCTGCTCCATCATGATCTCCTTCATGACAGCGCGGGTCACGCCTCCTAACCCTTCATGTTACCAGGAAGCCTCTCTTCCACATGGACCCACCGTTAGGAAGACTTTTGACACAAGGGATCCCAAACTTGGATCCACTTGCCAACCATCATACTTGTCAAGCCAGTCACCTGATCAGACCATCAGCTCTGATACCACTTGTTGTGCATCGGGTAGTTACCACACATATACACATGTCTCCACATTGGTGAGATATTGTCCACTTTGGGCCCAAGCCCTCACGGATTTGCTTTTGGACATTACCCAAAAGGCCTCTCAACCAATGGAGACAACTATGTGTATATAAACCCATGTCCATCCTCTTGTTTGAACGATGTCGGACTTTGCTTGCATCCCAACAAAACCCAATTTTCACATTCCAATCGGTAAAAACATTCCAAATCATGTAATAAACGTTATAAATAACACAACTCATGCATACAATTACATACTCAAACAATCTCCTCATACAACCTCCACTACATTCCTTTAGGATTCCCATCAGGACCCACAAAAACACCAAAACATACAATGTCAAGTCAATTTTGAAAATTACCAACACATATATCAATTTTCATCAAATAGAACATACAAAAAAAAAAAAGAAAAGATAAAGACACATTTAGAAAAAATCCTTTATACATAAACATACAATAGAGATAGGATTGAGGGTCAATCACACTACCAAGCATACAATCTCACACCTAGAGTGTGGTTTCTCACTTTCCCTTATCTTGATAAGCACTAGATGAATGTAAGCCTCTAGGGTTGTTCCCTTCTCCTTCAGATTTTTTAAACTTTGAAGCATAAGCGCATACATAAAAATAAAAGAAACATAAAACAAATTAGGAAAAAATCACACTTTAAAAAAAAAAACTAAACTCCTTTAACCTCTTAGTTAAAAACTTTTAATCATGGTTATCAAATTCCTTCCCTTAATAATAAATAAATAATAGAATCCTTAATTATAAATCTCACAATATATTCGTATAGAAATAATTAAAATAATTATTAAAACCAACATAATTAATTATAATAAAATATAATAATAAATAAATAAGTACATATTTTAATTTATCAAAAACGGGGTGTTACATAGAGAAATCGTAGTCAATTATTGATGAAGTTTTTAAAATCTTAGATTTGAAGACTTTGCGAATTCTGCAACACCAATTTAAAAAAAAAATAGATTTTTATTTATTGAAGTTCATACAGATAATGAATAACAACTACCTATTCTGTTTTTGATGCAGATAAAATGTATTAGAAGTTGAGTTATAAATGTAATTCATACATGAAGTTCTTACTGATACCAAAACTAAAGGTTTTTGGGAAAATCCATTTGAAGTTTGCTTATAATTTAGTGGTTGAAAATTGTAGTTTTTTCTAATCATATAGTTACCAAGCACTAGCCATTTCACTATATTTTTTTTGGGGTCTTAGCACTGAAAATTCGCAGTTTAGAATCAGCTATTGCTATAATGAAGGTTATTTATTTTTCACTCAAAATTTCAGTGGAGAAAATTCATATTTATGCAAGTCAATATTGGCAAATCTTGATATTACTATTAAGACAATACCAATTAGAAACACATCTTTGACTGAACACTAAATTTAGCTACATGTATTATGACAATACTGGTATTTTGGGCTTTTGAAGTCATACAATATTTTGACAATTACGGATTTGATTGTAGTGTTATGACTCTTGAATATTTAGTTGATATGTTAAGTGTATTCCATACATATTAAAGTCACATACCTTCACAAAATTTCCTTAAGGGAACTCGTACTGTGTTTAAAACCAAAATTAAGGGTGTATTACCTCATATTTGTTCTGAACGCAAACATATCATCAGTAATGTGGATTTCTATTCCAATATGTCATCAAAGACTCGTGCACATTGCAGGCTAATAATTATCGAATTCCTTCTATGAACCAGAATTCAAATGAAGTTGAGAATATATTTACAAATTTTAGAAAAAATTACGTGAAGGCAAAATATACTTCATTCAGTTTTTTCAAGTATCTGTAAATGAAGGTGTTCAAGACTTACCAATGGAGTGTCTACGATTTTGTGCCTGTTTGAAAATAACATGTCTTTTATCTATACTGTGATATCATTAGGTGTATTCATGCAATTTATCAAGATTGTTACTAATGATAGATACTTAGTGTTATTTTGCAGAAATGTTAAAGCTCTGTATTATTCAACTTCATTATGAATAACTGTTTGGAGATACTACAAATATGGTTTCCAACACCTTTGCTCTTTGTGATAACAATGGGAAGGATTTTTGTGTAAATTTTACTGCCAATTTGACTTATAATTGGGCTGATGAATAGTGCAACATTTTTTTGACAGTAATAATTATACCTGTTGTGACATGGAACTAACATTTTTGACAGCAACAATTATATTTTGTTGTGACATGGAACTATCGTGTTTTTCTCTCATGGTTAGCAAACTGATATGAAATAAGACACAATTTTAATCTCCATAAAAAAAATGGAATGTGTTTGATTATATTCTCTACAAACAATAGTTGTAACTCTTATCACCACTTATAAATCGATATTAATTCAGGTTTAAATGTCTTCTCCCTAAAAGGAACAAAATATAATGATTACTTATATCAATAATTTCGAGGTTGCAAGTGAGAGTGAAAATATTGTTCCAAAAATAAACCTGCTTGATGATGTGTGTTCAGTAACTAAATTGACCAAGACATACTTGCAGATTTATGGAAAAGATTACAATTTAAATTGATGTTATGGTTACTTGAATTTGTTGAGATGGAATTCAATGACAACAGTGCACTTAGACCATTCTTAAGCACAAGGCATATGGAAGCTGCTATTCCTTTAAGGAAAAGTAACAATCACAACCAACGAAATTCAAACAGGTGATTGTAGATATAGTATTATTGCTTTTTCAAATCTGCCACTGGCATGTTGTCTCGAAGATTAATTTTGTATCATATGCACTGCATTGTGCTACAAAAGTTTAATCTGATTTGAAAATTGAGATGCTGATTGATCCGATATATAATATATTTCTTTTTGCTTCCCATTTAACATTTATGATATTTTATGATCATTTTAAAAATTGGAGAGTTGTTATAAGAAAGAAAAATTGATAAATTAAAGAATTCATGTCCACACGTGCTTTTGAGGAACAAACGAGATATTGAGTAGTCTTTGATAGTAGACAAATAAAGAGATATAGTGGTTAAACATCATCAAAATAAACCGATAAATTTTTTATTTGGAATCAGGGTAAGGGATGTCTGTATCACTTCACTAAACTCCACCTTATGTTCCCGTCCGTTGCATGGTGGTCGGGTATAAAATCTAGTACTTTTATAAAGATGTGTCAATCCAAACATACTCATAATATAACCTGCATCCGTACTGGGAAGACATGTTATGCAAATGAAAGTACGAAACACAACACATGAACTAAATTATTAAATGAATATATATAGAACAATAAATGAGTTATGCACTTGAAATGAGGCAGGTGCATGTACCCCAAAAAGCCAAAATAATGCATATGAATGTTACCTAGTTTGTCAAAGAGATGCAAGCAAGGAGCATCATTAGATTTTGCAGTGAAAGGCATATGAATAATACAAACACGCAAAAGCAACTCATTTCTTCATACCAAAAATGCTAATATACAACACATGACAAATTTTCTCCAAAAAAAACTTTCATCCACGTAAATTTAAAAAAGGGGAGATAACATTATCTGAGAGTAGAAAATTGCCACTTCAGATCTTCATGTGCCTCTGACGTTTCAACACTAATTATCGAAGGTCTGAAAATTGGTGATAACTTACAATAAAAATATTGGATTTTAAGTGATCCAACAAAAGAACATAAAGACTACTATGTTTATGATAAAAAGGAAAATTGCGTCCTCTACAGGGTACTGTTTTCAAACACACGTTTTCCTCTTGTTTCTCAAAATAAAAATTTAAGAAAAGACAAACAACTCTTTTATTTGCTACCTCAAAGCAACAAATAAGAAACAACATTTGATTATCATCCACCAGCTTCTGTAGATTGTCGTCTTAACTCCTCATCTGCATTCCTTAGAAATTGATCCCAACCACTCCCTTCGCTGGTATCCAAGTAATCAAATGGAACGGCTGTTTTAAGGCCTGGCCTAACAGCACAACGATCTTCCAAAATTCTAAACTCAACATCATCTCCTTCACTATGAATATGGTCTAATTCATCCCACGTAAACAACAACGCCAATGTAAAGGCACCCCAAGGGTTGAAATCCACAACCTTAACTCTCTCATCTTTTGTAATGTATATATCAAATGTGTAGTTTTCTGACTCAAAGTTAGCCCTCACGTAATTGTTAAAAAATGCCTGTATAAGTAAAAGGAGATCATTCTTCTTTTCAAGCAGAATAGGATAGAAAGTAGTGACCTCCCGTTGAGAAATTCCAATTAACTTCTGATCCAGTACAAAACATCGAAATTCCATGTCTGGCTGAAGCGATGGATACCATTTACGGAGAGCAAGGAAGAAACTCAGGGGTCTAGTTGAAGATTTATCCTTGCATGAATCATAAGCATGACACAAGTCATGGACCAATGAATCAGAAGATCGAAATAAAAGAGCAATCTCACTGAAACTTGTGCACCGAAGGGTACCACTAGTGCTTATCCAAGCTGAATCTTTTGGGGCACTCCAATTCAATTTGGGGAAAACTGCACCCCCAAGGGACTCAATGGATTCCTTAATTTTCAATTCAAGTTCTGGAAAAGAAGGTGGTGGAGAACTTTCCTCTGCTTCATCATCAGATCCCTCTGACACCTGAAAATCTTCTTCCTCATCTGGATTTTGAATTCTATTGGGTAATGCATCTTCATTTAAGACAGAAACAGGCAACAGGAAGGGCCCCGAGTCATCAAGTAGGTACTGAATAAATGATTCAGGAAGTTGATGAATTAAGGTCTTGATGGATACAGATTTGAACTTTGGATACCATTCCTGAATCTGGCATCGATTCACCTCTTCCTCTTTCATATTTTCGTAACAGTAGTTTCTCTATCAAATATAACCAGCTGATCTTCCTTTTCTTCAACTATCAGTATCTGGAATTCAGTAATCAACATACAGATTAGAGAATAATTGTTGAAACCTAGTAAATGATTAGCTGTCAATACAAGCCAAAACAGAATACAATCTGAAATTTGTAAACGTAAAAAGAGAACACAATTCACTCAATGTCAGATACGAAGGCACAGTGTTCTGCACCACAATTGATCATCAAACAATAAACTAACAGGGTAGGGGTTAGACCAATTTTATTTTCAGAATAAAGTTGGAAGTTGAAAATAATAAATATTGAAGAAGAATATTTCGTTTAAAATTTCAAAATCAAGCACAATATAACTCAAAAAAAAAAAAAAAAAAAAAAAAAAAAAAAAAAACTAAATGAACTAAATCAGTTCAGCAAAAGCAGGCCAAATATTTTTGAAGTTAGACTGGATAATTACAGTTCATAAAGTGGATTGTTGAGTTAAGGTCTTCCTGTGTTAGATGACCATACGTATTAATACATGTTTGACAAGGTTGAGAAATTAATGAGGATTGAGGAGTAAAATAAGACCCAAATGGTGATTGGTGTATCAATCCAGAAAGCATAGGTCAGTCTTTATGGGAAATGTTTGCAACAGTATCACACTTATGGAAACTAAATTTACAACTGTTGATCAATAATGCAACTTGCATAAATGAATTGTACATCAGTTATCACCATTATCTTCATACACCACAGCAGAAACCACCAGAGTCTCAAGACTTAAAATCATAAGCAAAGCACTGGAATGAGTCCCAAATAAACAATCTAACAATAATAGATTAAACCATTGGAAGAAAAGTAACACTTGACATCCATCAGACCCAGTTTTTCATTCACAGCTTCTTCCTATCCTTTTGGGCCAACAAACTACTACAAAATTCACTAGCCACAACATGTACAAGAAGATGTTTCCTAGTGATCTATACATCACATTAACAGAACTAATTCAACCAAAAATTCTTATACCTGAATAATGAAAACAAATCAAAAGACTAATATTTTGCTGACTCCCAATAACCCAATTCAGTTCTATCTACAATTCCCAATGACCAAAACATGAATTAAGCCATAGAATCTGCATATTACTCTTTTAATTTGTGTTATTTCTTTCAATGTTGTCCTTCCCTTACAGATACCTTTAGTATTCCTCATTCAGCTTAACAAGTATGGTTTCAGCTACCAAAGTCTGAAATTTACAACTCTTCCATTTTTAGGGGGGTCTACCAAGCATTGATCTGAGAGGAAAGAGAGTTGTTGCTATTATTATCAGGTTTCTGCACTATTTTCAGAGTCTTACAAAGCTTAAAATAGCTACACAGCATTTCAGGTGTCTTAAACTGATATTTCTTTCTTGAGTGTGATTGCCTTTGGCAAAATGTTGAGAGAATCACAAATTCAAGAATGGCTTCAGCAAACAAGTTACACGTAGCATTACAAAACAAATAATCCACACATGACACGAATTCCACAAAGCACCAGCATCAATCTCAGATTAAATAATTGGCAATTAGGATAAAATTAGCACACAATAAACAACTCTCGCACGTTAATCAGAGTCCGTCATAAATTGGCAACTTGTTATCCATAATGGCCAACTTGGACAGTGTCATTATTAAGTAGTATTTTGTGGGCGAGGGTTCATCACAGTGACAACGCAATGGTAAGGACTAGTATGCAAGTTGTGGAACGAACCTGTGGTGGCAGACAGTGGCGAGTGGCGAGTGTCCAAAGCCAATTTACAACAAAGGAATACATCAAACAAAATGGGTATTTTTAAAATGATAATTTTTAAAACAAAAATTGCCAAATAGCAAAATCCTTATTATTTTCGTCTAATCCTGAAACGTTGTTATTCTTTAATCATCAAATGGGAAATTTTCAAAGTAGTTTGAGGATGAGTAACAACGTTAATTTAACTAGAGTCTGATTGGACACAAGCTTAGAAACACGCTTGAGAATTTTTCTACAAGAAAATATTTTTTCCTTTTTTGCAATTCAAAAGAACTAGGAAGAAAGCCAAAGCTAAAAATTGAACTCACTAATTTCGTTTTCTCCCTCTCAAACTGTTGTCTCGTGCTTAGAACCCAACTTAGGAATCGATATTCAATCGAGAAAGAACTCCTAATCTATTTAACAAAAATAAAAAAAAATAGAAAAAAAAAAGCAAAAAAAATTACCGAGTGTTCGGCGGTGGCGTGGTGGGGGCACCGCGTTGGGCAAGTGGTGGTTGCACCTTGCACGACGGTGAAGACACGGGCGTGGTGGTGGCAACACGGATTAGGTTTAGGGTTTAGGTTTTCTTTGTTTAAAGCATTTTTTTTTAAAAATAATTTAATTTTGGTTATAATGTGATTTTATGATTCATGTGAGTTTTTTAATTCGTATAAGTGTTTAGTTACAATAGATTTTAGGGTTTCTCGTAATCTTTTGTATTTTATTTTATGCATGTGTTTTATTATGAAATAATATTATAGTTCGAGTAAAATTAAGTTCATATCTTTTATATATATATAATATATAATATATTTGGTAGAGAAAAAAAAAAAGGAAATATATAGAGTATAAGTGTGTAGAAAAAATGAAGAGGAAAGAAATATATGTATTTTTTTTAGTGTTTTAAAATTTTGTTTTATATTAATTTAATTTAGTTAAAATATAAATAAAGTCTAATTAAAAATTATTTTTTATTAATAATCAAATTCAAACATTATTTAAATAATTTAACTTTGAATTAAAAAAATAAAAATACATATATATGAAAATAAAGTAAAAATAGATGTTGTTTGATTTAAAAAAAATAAGGTCAAGGTTAACTTTATTAAAAATGCATTCTACTCTCGTTTTAGTTAAATATAAGTAATGAAACAATAATTTAGGCTAACTAATTAATAAAGTTAGTTAAAATATCATTTAATTGTACTAATTTTATTATATAAAATTGTTAATATTTAGTGTACTATGCGCGCTAAGCACTAAGCTTGAACTCGACGCTAACCCCTGCACGATATCGGATGAGTGCTACGAGACATTAGCCAAAACAAAGGCTCACCATCTAAATGGGCCACAACCAACCTCAGGCCCAGATAAATCCTAATTCACACTAAGGTACGTGCACTACATATATGAGATGCCTACACTATCCAAAACTAACTTTAGCACCGAAGTCTTTGTTGCAGGTATCACCCCCACTTCGGAGTAGCCGACGTACCTAGCAAGGAAGGCTCACCAATCTTGCCCAGTAGATCATCCCTCACGACCGATCTCCGGTAAGAATATTTGGCGCCCACCGTGGGGCCGATCAAGAAATCTCTTATCGGCCATGATTATGGTTTTCACCCAAAGCCATAGTAGACGAGCAACAGACGAACAAGATAACGCAGCAAGAATGGAAGGAGAAGCGACATTGAGACGCCTGATCGAGCAAGTCGATCAAATGCAACAACAACACCTCGTTGACCTGGAGAACATGCGCACCCGACACGAGGTCGATCTAGCGGCGCTACGAGCTGAGAACGAGCGCATCCGCGCCCAGCTTCCTCAGCGCCCCCCAGATCAGCCTCCTCAACCGAGTAATCAAAACAAGGAAGAAGGGCACTTGGCTTCCCCGCCACCGACTGCGCCCCGGGCGACGACCCATAGGTCTACCGCACATCGGTCACACGTACCGATGTACCAATCAGACCATGAAGTCAGCAACGCATCGGCCCAGGCTCCAGGACACAGGGCGAGCATTCGCCGTCACCCCTTTGTAGACGGTATCATGGAGACACCTCTCCCTTTTGGATGGAAACCCCTCAACATCGACCGCTACGATGGCACCATCGACCTAGATGAGCACGTCGATTTGTACGTCACACACGTGAACTTGTACACTAATGATGATGCTATTTTATGTAGGGTTTTTCCAACCTCACTCAAAGGATCGGCACTCGCCTGGTATACTCAATTGCCAGCGGGATCAGTCGATAGCTTCGACACCTTGGTGAGGCGATTCACGGCACAGTACGCAATGAGTCGACCACATCACATCACGTCTGCCGCCCTAGCCAATCTTAGACAAGGCGACGACAAACCATTGAGGAAGTTCATGGAGCGATTTGCCAACATCTCCATCCAAATCCGTAACTTGAACCCCGAGGTCGCCCTACACGCCATGCTCATGGCACTCAAGCCAGGTCCTTTCGTCGATAGCCTTTGTCGACGACCTCCCCAGGACATGGACGAACTTCGTGCCCGATCTGCCGGGTACATTCAGATGGAAGAGCACACGACGTTCTATGACCAAGTCTGTGGGAAACCACAAGGGAAGCAAGACCATGGCCACAAAGATAAGATGCGAGTCTCCAATGACAGTCAGTTCAAAAAGACTAGGCCGAACAAAGGCGGGAAGTACGACTTCTACATCCCTTTGAATGCACCCCGAGTACACATACTGGAGGAGGCCAGTAACACCGACCTCATTACCCTGCCTCCACCCGAGCACAGCCTCAGTAGCACGGACAAATCCAAACATCGCCGATACCATAGAAACTATGGTCACACAATCGAAGAATTCCGCACACTCAGGGATCGCATCGAGGAACTCGTCCAAGGGGGACACCTCGGCCAATACGTCCAACGATCCCAATTTCACAGGGGAGGCTACCATGGACGAGGACGAGGACAAGGTCGAGGCTCCGGCACTCGGGAAGACCTACTATCTGGATCTCAGCAAAACATCGGCGGTGCAGTGCAGGCCGAGGTAAGCCAAGACACGGGTATGACTCCCTTGCGGGGGGTCATCAATACAATTACAGGCGGATTTGCAGGAGGTGGCTCAAGCAGCTCGGCGCGCAACAGACACCTGCGAAGCATTAACAACGTCCACGCAGAAGCCTCGGCCCCCAAACGCAACACGCTGCCCATCACTTTCGCAGACGACAACTATGTCGGTGTCTGTCCCAACCAAGATGACCCATGGTCATTGTGGTGGAGGTAGCTAACTGGGAGGTCCACAAGACACTAATCGACTAGGGAAGCTCGGCTGACGTCTTATACTGACCAACATTCTTAAGGTTAGACATCCCTCGTTCCCTCATTCAACCTCACACAAAACCTCTAGTCAATTTTGCAGGAGAACGAGTCCATACTCAAGGATAAATAGAGCTGCTAACAACCTTTGGGACGCCTCCCAACTCAAAAAGAATCATGGTCAAATACCTCCTCGTCGATGCTAACACATGACACAACATCATCATAGGAAGACCGACTTTAAACCAACTTAGAGTTGTGGTGTCTACCCCGCATCTAACGATGAAGTTCCCGGGGGGTAACAGCCAGATAATTTTGGTCAAGGAAAACCAAAGAACAGCTCGGCAATGCTATGCTGAAAGTTTAAAGGCATCAACCCCAATAGAGGAGCAACGCCGAGATAAATCACATCACTCAGGATGACATCACTGACCTGGACCCGAGGTCAGAATCCCATGACAACTGACCGGGTCCAATTGACGAGCTTGCTGATCTACAAATCGGAAAACTCCCTGACCAATGCACCAAAATAAGCCAACATTTGAGCATGGAGTTACGACAACAACTTGTAGCCGAAATTTCCAAAAATGTCGACCTCTTTGCATGGTCTAGCGCCGACATGCCAGGTATAGACCCTAACTTTATCTGTCACAGGTTGGCAATCCACAAAGAGGCAAAACTGGTGGCTCAGAGGAAACAAAAGGTTGGTGGTGAGAGACGAGAAGCCATCATAGCTGAAACACAAAAGCTAATAAAAGCATGATTCATCCGAGAAGTCTGATACACTACGTGGCTAGCCAATGTGGTGCTTGTTAAAAAGAACTCAGGGAAGTGGCATATATGCGTCGACTACACCGACCTGAACAAGGCTTGCCCTAAAGATGCCTACACCTACCAAGCATTGACAGGTTGGTTGATGGAGCATCCGATCACGCCCTCCTTAGCCTTCTGGACGTTTACTCCGGATACAATCAGATCATGTTGTACCCACTGGATGAGGTGCACACGTCATTCATCATCGACCACGCTAACTTTTGCTACCGCGTGATGCCGTTTGGCCTCAAAAACGCGAGTGCTACTTATCAAAGGCTGATGGACAAAGTCTTCCACCAGCAGATCAGACGAAACATGAAAGTCTACTTAGACGACATGGTCCTGAAGACCACATCGGTCGACACCCATGTTGCTAACCTAGCCGAAGTATTTAACCAAATATGGAAGCACAACATGCGTTTAAACCCTGAAAAGTGCGTCTTCTGAGTCCAAGGAGGCAAGTTCCTCGGTTTCATGATCACCCATAGGGGTATTGAAGCCAACCCGAAAAAATGCAAGGCCATCATACAGATGCATAGCCCCCACAAAGTCAAGGATGTCCAACGCTTGGTAGGAAGGTTAGTCTCTCTTTCTCGTTTCATTCCCAGGTTGGTAGAGAAAGCAGGCCCATCTTCACCCTACTTTGCAAGCCAAAAACTTTTGAGTGGACTGACCAATGTGAAGAAGCTTTCAAAAGCTTCAAAAATTTCCTTGCCACCCTACTAGTCCTACAGAGGCCGGATCATCATTCCGACCTCCTCCTGTACTTGGCAGTTGGCGAAAGTGCAATTAGTGCGGTGATGGTGCAAGATCGCAACAAGAACCAAACTCCTATATACTACATCAGCCGAGTTCTTTAAGACGTAGAGAAAAGGTACCAAATGATCGAGAAGTTGGCCTTAGCATTGGTCACCTCGACCCGACGTCTTCGGCCCTATTTCCAAAGCTACCAAATCATCATCAAAATGGACTACCCAATCAAGCAAATATTGAGAAAGCCAGAACTCGCAGGGCGCATGATTGCGTGGTCCGTAGAACTATCTGAGTTCGGAATCCGATATGAAAATCGAGGCCCTTTGAAGGCCCAATGCCTGGCAAATTTTGTTGTCGAACTCACCCCAACCTTAGTAGAAGAAAAGCAGGTATGGACTCTATATGTTGGTGGTGGTGCAAGTATCATTTTAGAAGGACCCAACAATGTCACCATAGAATAATCTCTTAAATTTGGGTTCAGAATCACTAATAACCAAGCAGAATACAAAGCACTACTAGCAGGACTGAGGTTGAATCATGACCTCGGAGAACAAAGGGTGAGTTGCAACAGTGACTCAAAACACTTGGTAGAACAGCTCAGTGGGACATACCAGACCAAGGACACCCTACTACAAAGGCACTTTCATGCAGCATCCCAGCGGATGTCATCCTTTAAGGAGTTTACCATACATCATGTGCCCCGAGAACAAAATGTCAGGGCCGACCTCCTGTCCAAGCTCGCAGCACAAAGCGCCTTGGGTAACATCGGACCATCATCCAAGAGAGCCTTAACTCTCCCAGTTTAGACGATAAAGTCTTCAATACCAATGATACCGAAGACAAAGGATAGATGACACATATATGGAGCTACTTAAAGGAGGGAACTCTACCTGAAGACAAAGATGAAGCTCGAAGATGAGGGTAAGATCATCCAAATTTGTCATCATCGGGGACGAGCTATTCAAACGAGGAATCTCGACTCCCCTGCTAAAATGCCTAACAAAGCCCCAAGCCACCTAAGTAATCGAGGAGATCCATCGAGGAATATGTGGTATGCACTCCGAGGCACGCTCGATGGCGACCAGGGTGCTTCGAGCTGGCTACTACTGGCCCACGCTGAAGTTAGATTGCAAAGATTACGTACAAAGATGCAAAGAATGTCAGCAGTTCGACAACACACATCGGCAACCGCCTGAAATCCTCCACAAAATGACGTTCCTATGACCCTTTGCCTAGTGGGGAATGGAAATCCTCGGACCGTTTCCCCCCGCGAAAGGTCAACTCAAATTCGTCCTTGTGGCAGTCGACTACTTCACCACGTGGATCGAAGCCTGCCCACTTGCAAAAATCACCGGCGAGAACGTGAAGAGGTTCACCTGGAAGAACATCATTTGCAGGTTCGGTATCCCACACTCCCTCATCACTGATAATGGCAAGCAGTTCATCACGCAGAGCTTCGAGAGCTTCCTCCGAGAGCTCGGTATCAAGCACCTCCCCCCTTTGTAGAACATCCCCAAACCAACGGTCAAGCCGAAGCTGCAAACAATGTCATACTCCGGGAACTCAAAAAATCACTAGGAAATGGCCAAAGGACAGTGGGTCGATGAGCTCCCCAGCATTCTCTGGGCATATCATTGAACCCCCCAATCCACGACTCAAGAAACTCCTTACAGGCTAACATACAGAGCTGACGCCATGATCCCAGTAGAGGTCGGCGAGACGTCTCATCAGCGTCACACCTTTGACAATGAGCAAAACACTCAAGAAACAGCGACCAACCTCGACCTAATAGACAAACTCAGGGAGGAGGCTCAGATTCAAGAAGAAGCTTGCAAACTTCGAGCCTCTAGAAGGTACAACACGTGAGTCCGAACTCGCTCTTTCCGGATTGGCGACCTAGTATGGAGATTGCAAGGCGAAGCAAGGAGAGACCCATCAGAAGGGAAACTCACGCCTAATTGGGATGACCCGTTTCGAGTCATCGAAGACCTAGAAAATGGAGTATACCGACTAGAGAAGCTCAACGGCAAGACCATCCCGAGAACTTGGAATGCCACTCATCTTAAGTTTTATTTTAGTTGAATTGTATAAATGGGCTGTTGCACTCTTTTCCCTACCCAGTCTTTTGTCCCAAAAAATAGAAAAGTGGGTTTTGGCTGAGAGGGTTTTTAACGAGGCACACCCACAACATCAATAAAAGTGACTCACTTTACTACTCATATTTCCTTGATCTCACCAAGTCTAGCATGATTTACATTAAGCCAAGGTCGAATTCGAACCTTGGCACGATTCATAATAAGCGAAGGTTGAATTTGAACCTTGGCACGATTCATAATAAGCCAAGGTCGAATTCGAACCTTGGCACAATTCATATTAAGCCAAGGTCGAATTCGAACCTTGGCACGATTCATAATAAGCCAAGGTCGAATTCGAACCTTGGCACAATTCATATTAAGCCAAGGTCGAATTCGAACCTTGGCACGAGTTACATTAAGCCAAGGTCAAATTCGAACCTTGGCATGATTCATATTAAATTAAGGTCGAATTCAAACCTTTGCGTAAATTATGTTAATGGTCAAGTTTGAACCTTAAGGCCAAACACGGGCTACGATGAAAATTAAAGGTCAAGATTGAACCTCAAACATTGAAACTCATTTTCAAACAACAATGAGAAAAGCAATATATATATATAACAAGTTCATTCATTCACAAAGTAATAAGTTCAATACCTTGCTCAGCGCAAGCAACATAAACTAAGTCTATTACAAAAAATGACAAGAAATATAAAGGCTCAAGCAGCAGTCTCCTCGCTAGCGCTCTTGGACAGGTCATCCTCGTTAACCAATTTCCCACCTCGCACATCTTTATCAATGTGCAAGGAAGAAATATCGACCTCCCCCGCCAAAAGCATAGCTTGGCGAACTGCCTTGGCGAAGCCTCGATGATGCTCCCCCACAACGGCCCGCTCGGTCTTGTTGAACCTCTTCTCCAAATTTCTCTTTTCGGAGGTCATCACATCGAGATCCGTTTTTAGGGAGCCAATTTCCTCCTCCCTACCAGCCAGAAGCACCTCGTCGTAAAGATGCTTCTCTACGGCCTCCCCCAAGTCAGCCTTCAACGTCGCGTTCTCCTCCTCCAAGGATAGAACCCGGCTCCGCGCAATCTCTGCCTCGACCTTACAAACCTTGGCAACTTCTTTCAGGCTACCAACCTCGGTGGCGTACGCCTCATTGGCCTCTAGGGCAATCTCCAAAGACTTCTGAGTCTTTGAAAGATCTCTCCTCAGAGCTTGAAGCTCGGCTTCACTTTTCTTTGCCTTCTCCAGCTTGCCCTGAAGCCTCGGCCACTTGCGCCTCCAGTGGTCCACTATAGCGATGGACTTCTACATAAAGACCTCTGCAAAATCCAGGCCTTCCACCGGAACAACCTTCTTTATCATCGAAGGTCGGGTCCTCCTTAAAAATCTCCTTAGTAGTCATGCTCGAACTCCACAATGATGTCACGTCTGGGGATACACTTACGTGATCCAGCCTTGACATTGGACGTTTGACATCAAAGCGTTGCACGATACACCTCGGTCTCGGAGCACTTGGAGGAGGAGGCGCAGCGGCGGAAGGAGCCGATCCCAGCACCCCAAAACTTGAGCCTTCCCCACGAACCTTGGGAGAGGAAGGCATCAGACCCACCTGCGACAAAATCAAAATAAATTTCGAAGTTACAAGCATAAGAGTAACACAAGAAGGACAATACTAAGGAAGAGTGAAACAAGAACCTGTCCCTCCGGGGTAGCCTTCACCACAGGCTCCCTCGAAGAAGTCTCAGCCTGAGGACTCTTGGTCAAATCTATGAGGGTGGAATCAGCGGCTTTAGACGTCACCTCCTCAAGAACGGGGGCACCCGAAGCCTCGCCGACCTCCTTTTGTGCCCTCTTCCTCTTACGATGAGTCTCCAACGGGTAACCTCCTCACTAGGCTCGGGCACCTCGAGCTCCTCAGTGTTGAATTTTGCTTCAATTAATGCCACTTGCTCTTCCCCATCAGACCTGCAAACATAAAACAGCATAACACATCAGGACATCGCTAGAAGCATAAAAAAAAAAGACAAAGGGAAAATAATGAAGTAATCACTCTCTAAACCCATTTCTTTATCAGTCAAATTGGCAAGGGACAGGACAAGTTTGCTGTCCAGTGGGCGTGGAAGCTCGGCCAATTTGACGATGTCATCTTTGTCCGAATCCGACAATTGAAGACAGCTCGACCCATTGAACTTAACCGGGCTTCGCTGCCAAAAGAAAGGGAACCTCGGCTCCCCCTCACTATGAAAAACCACCTCCTCCCTTGGATCGGAAACCACAGGTCGGATCCAGAAAAACTCTTTTTTGAAATTTTTATATGATTGGGAGTAAAGCTGGAACAACCCCCTAGCCTTACTCCCATTGAGAGACACCCAACCTAGGGGAGGCTCGCCCAACTTCAGTTGGTAGAAGTGCAATAAAACAGGCAGAGACACACTCATTCCTAGGGCTGAACACAAAACTTGAAACGTCCTTAAAAAACCCCAACTATTGGGGTGCAACTGGCAGGGGTCCACATTGACAAACCGGAGGCAGGCACACTCAAACTCGGTGAATGGAAAACAAACACTGATATCCCTAAAGAAACACTCGTACATGTAGAAAAATGGGGTATTCGGGGTACCCGCCATGTAAACACGTTCACCGGGCTGGCAAGGCTCTACCTGGATGAGCTTGGAAATTTTTGAACTACAAATTTTGAGTGTTTTCCACATGGCATTGACATCCAGAAACGCCCTGAATCGACTATGAAACTCCCCGACATCCCCTCTAACCCACTCATACCCCGGGACAGAAATAGTGGGGTGAGAATCCCTAGGGTTGTTCCCACCCCTTTTCTTTTCAGCAGCGACCGTTTCGCCGGTCGCTGCCTTGCCACGCGCCTTGCCCTTACCTTTGGAAGGCGCAGAAGGCGCAACACTTTCTCCCTCCCTGGCCATGGAAAACGAAGAAAACTCGAAAAGGGGAAGAGTGAAGGAGAAGACAAAAAAGGAGAAGTACCTAGTACTCCTTCAATAACAACAAGACAACGACGAAGAATGGTGACCTTATTATCGAAAGCGGTGACGATGAAGGAAAATGCCGATGGTGAAAGAAAATGGAGAAGAGAAATGTGCAGAGAAGGGACTAAGTGTAAAAGGGAAGCTAAATGGTTGAAAGTGCAAGTGTGCGAGGGAGAGAGAGGCAAAGTGTTTTAAACAAAAAGCGGAAACGAAAAAAACGACAAGGCATTAAATGGAGCTCGTAATGACAGGGGGCATCCCATCATTACGAGCCGCCACTCTTCATTACAAGCCGCCTTGACGTTTTGAGAAACGAGGCAAGGCTTCGTGACACGTGGCGCTTCACCTAAGGGGCAGAAATGAAAGATCACGACCCCCCACATACTCGGCAATTAACTCGTCGACCTCAGGTCCTCAGAGCTCGGGGGGCTAGTGTACTATCTGCGTCAAGCACCGAACTTGAACTCGGCGCTAACCCCCGCATGACATCGGATGAGTGCTACGAGACATCGGCCAAAACAAAGGCCCACCATCTAAATGGGCCACAACCAACCTCAGGCCTAGATAAACCCTAATTCACACTAAGGTACGTGCACTACATATATGAGACGCCTACACTATCCAAAACTAACTTTAGCATCAAAGTCTCTTTTGCAGGTACCACCCCCACTTCGGAGCAGCCGACGTACCCAGCAAGGAAGGCTCACCAATCCTGCCCAGTAGATCGTCCCTCACGACCGATCTCCGGTAAGAACATTTAGAATAGTTTTGTTTTCAAAAAATTTTCTTCAAACAGAAAATAATAATTAAGAAAATTTTTATTGACTTAAAATAAGGATTGGAAATTGATTATTAATAAGATTAATTAATTTAGTTTCATTCTTAAATTAATTACAAATAATAGTTAATTTATAACATTTATTTTACGTAAAAAAAATACCTCTTTAAAAAAAAAATTTAAGAAACAAATATAATTTACTTTTTTAAGAAAATAGGAAGTGCTTATTTTAAATATATGTTTTTAAGACAAAATTTCTTATTCTATTTAATAAAATATTTTTTTAAGAGAGATAAGATTCTTTAAATCAATTTACTTTGTTATTATGAACCTATTATATTAAAAAAATATTTTTGTTTATATATCAACTTGAAATTTGAGAGATGGGAGAAGTGTGAGATTTTGGTATGATATATGGGTCTTGGGTAAGGAGGCGATTATTCAATATGTTGTCTCCTTTGTCCCACTTGAGGAGCTTAACAAGAAAGTAGTTGATTATGTAGGTGTGCATGGTGACTGGGATTTAAGTCGGATTCAGTCATGTATTCCTATGATAATTTGAAATCTAATCATCAGGCTTCCTATAATCTTGTTGTCATCATTAATGCACCTGTTGCAAATGGTTGCACCCCTCCTCCATCTGAACACATTAAACTAAATTGTGATGGGTTAGTACTTAATTGTGAAGCAGCATGTGGAGGTATCATTCGTGATGATACATGCAAATGCGTGGTGGTGTTTTTGTGTCAACTAAGAAGATGTTCAATTATAAAAACAGAGTTATGGGCTACTCTACATGGCCTTCGAACTATAAAGAATAAGAGAGTTCATGGAAAGATTATGATTGAATCAAACTCAACACTTGTAGTTAGACTCATTAATAATGGATGCTCTGCCTCTCATCCTTGTTTTGATCTTGTTCACGAGATTTTAGAGTTGTATTAGGATATTCAAGTTGTTTCATGTTCTTATATTTTTAGGGAGGATAATTTAGTGGCAGATTGTCTTACCAAATGTCCTCTAGTTGTAGGGGAGGAGATGCATTTATTTGAGTCTCCTCCTGCCTTTATCCATTCCTTGTTACAAGTAGACCTTTTTGTTAGTTTTTTGATTAATGGAATATAGTCTAGGCTTTTAGCCCTTTCAATAACAAAAAAAAAATAAATTTGAAATTCGTTATTCAACATGTAACAATAAATTAAGATTTATTTCTAACATGATTAATGATGTTATATTTAGAATTAAGATTGAAAAAATACACCATGGAACTAAGATGTTTTATTAATTAAGGAATAATTATATAGAGTCTAGTCTTATTCATTATAGTTATTCATTTTTTTTTAATGAATTTTTGTTAATTAAGTTGTTGCACACTCTAGAGTATTAATAATATCAATTAGCACTATCTTAATAGTTTTGCTAGTAAATAAATTCAAAATATACTAATGTTTTGCTGCACAAATAGTTAAAATATAACCATGCTTAGTCACACAAATTTTAATGAAGTTTTGTCCTTGAAGTTGTGCAATATGTTTGAGAGTATTATTATTTTCATTTAACATTGTTTTAATTATTTTTCTAATAAAAAATATACAATCATTTTAATATGTTGATTAAATAATTATGCATTATAAGTTATAATTGCTCTGTTTTTTTTTTCACTTATAATGTATTAGATTGTTATAATTTTGATACATCAACAAAAGTTAATAATGCTCTTTTGTTTTAATAATTTATTTTAATATATACTTATTTTTATCTTTCCCTCATTTTCTTAAGTTTTCTTCTCTTTTTGGTTTGTGAAGTTCTAACTATAAATATAACAAATGGAAATATAACATTAAGAAAATTTACCTCTTAGTTTTGCAATTTTTTTCATCTATAGATCACATATATATGACTTTTTTTTTAATTATTTTTATGGAGTGAGGGTGAAAATAAAATTTCTTATTCAAATTTTTTGAAAATCCAATTTTTAATTTTAGGTCATAATAGGACACCTGCTTCTTCTCTAATTGAAATTAGCATTGCAAAAATGAGTTTCTTTACAAAATTATAAATATATGTTATACAATGCAAGTATTATCTCTTACATATAATTAACACTTTGTTTTATCAAATATTATCGTTATGGAGAAAAGATAAATACTAGAAGGGGGTCGAATAATATGTATAAAAAAAATTGCATGTTTTTCGTAGTGAAGTAGTAATGCTAGTTAAATAAAGTGTGAAAAGCAGTTAAATGAAACACTGATTATTTTTATATTAGTTTGTTTCAACCATCGAGACAATGCTTAATTCTTAATCCAACTAGATTGAGTTCCATTATTTTTAAACAAAGATACAAATATTCTTTCAACAAGCCACTTCTAACTCAACCCTAAGTATTCTTTGACTTACCTCTTCAAGTAACTACTCAAGTCAAAGTAATTAGTTGTACATTGTTACATAAAGGGCAATCTTAGATCTATCAAGAATATGAGTTTTAATGCTAACAAACATGAACAATTTTAAAAAAGAAAAGTGTTTTTAAGATCATATAAGAAAAATGATTGGTTATGATCATGTGTAGTCTTTTAGACGAATCACTTCATCTGCCTAAGATAAATGCATTAAATATATCATTTATTATGTTCAATAACCAAATGATCTATCTCTATGTTATTCCTTAACAAATCGAAGGAATATAAAAGCTTCTTTGGTACTTGAACTTCAAAATGGAATGGAGATTCACTTTTCGTATGAGAAAGGACAAGTATATATCTTGAATTGTATGAAGTTTTAGATAAAGTCATTTTCGATTGACACATGCAACAATTCCTTTCGTTTTGTACCTTAAAGGTGATAAGTAATCTTCTTAATCAGATAAGAAGTGACAATTTGGTGAAACACATTTAATGCACCAAGATACACCTTATTATATAGGGAAGGTAGACAAAACAAGCTTATGAGTAAAACTTAAGGATTTGCAATGATCACCTTCACCAAGAACCTATATAAATAAGCTTTAAGACTTATACAACATAGAGAGAACAATGATTGTAAAAATTCATTTCATTCTTTTCAAAAGCTTTGTACTTAAATTGTTGTATCACATCTTATGAGTAAGATGAAATAACTATTATTACCTAACTTTAACTTTGTGTTATAGCTTGAAGAGACTTTGTTGAAAAGAATACTTGGTCATGGAAGCCTAAAAATACTTTGTTGTTCAAAGAATACTTGGGTAGTTGTTTAAAGAGAAAAGCCAAAAAATTCTTAGGTTGAGGCAAAAGTGACTTGTGAAAGAATATTTGTATTTTTGCAAAGATAATGGAACTTGATCTATTTGATCAAGAACTGGACGTATAGTGGTTGAAACGAACTAGTATAAAAATATTGTGTGTTATTTATTTTTATCTCTTCGTCTACCCTCTTTAAGGTTTAAGATAGTACTTCGTTGTTTTGAAAAAATGTTAGTTTTGTATTGATATTATTCAATCCTCCTTCTAGCGTTTAATTTCATGTAGTCAACACAAAGGAAAGATACATCCTAGCTTGCTCTTTCTTACGTATTGAATATGACAAGTTCTATAGTTGCAAAACTCACTACAAAAGAATTGTCTTGTAGTGCCACACACTCTATAGTGACACAATACTTGTCATTAAAAACTTATTTTACCTACACTATAAATACAATATATGTTGTATATTGTTAAAAAGTGTAGGTATAAGCTATAGAGACATAAAAAATATGTAGTTAAATCTCATTCAAGATGAACATTAAAATTGTGTGTAGGTATATGTCCAACAGACCTATAATTGCATATATTATATTTATAGTGACACATTTTATACGTCATTATATGTAAAATTTCTTCTAGTGACTAGAAATGAGATGTGGGAAGCCATCAAGATAACTTATGAAAGAACTAAAGACATAAGATTTAGAAGAGCTATTACTCTTTAGAGACACCATGCATTGTTCTCCATAAAGGAGAATGAAACCATTGATGAGATGTTTGGAAGACTCCAAACTATTCTCAATGGGTTAAAATCCTTGGGAACTAAGTTTTTGAACAATTAGAAGATTTGGGAACCAAAGGCCACCACCATCTTAGAGGCACGTGACCTTAAAACTCTTACACTAGATGAACTCTTGGAAGTTCTAA